CAATAATTCATATTAAGTGGACATTTGGATATAGATGTAAATGATATATGAGATTGGCCTGAATTTATACTGAATCTCAGGGTACACTTAAGAAATTTGATTATTTGGGGTGCCTGGGTGGCTCAGTCGCTAAGCGTCTGCCTTCGGCTCAGATCATGATCCCAGGATCCTGGGATCGAGCCCCGCATTGGGCTCCCTGCTCGGCAGGAAGCCTGCTTCTCCCTCTCCCACTCCCCCGGCTTGTGTTCCCTCTCTCGCTATCTCTCTCTCTCTCTGTCAAATAAATAAATGAAATCTTTAAAAAATTAAAAAGAAAAGAAATTTGATTATTTTTTCAAATGCCTTACGTGTTTGTGTTTTGTTATCACACTTTTTTCTCCCAAGAGAAGATCGCAGATGAACTCTGGCTAATGAATTATGGCTAATCAAGACGTGGTTTCCTTGATCCCAGACTTTGAGGGCTATAGTGCACATCACTTGATGACTCTGCAGCTGATTATGATACACACCAAAGAATTACTGAAATTCATCATCTTGTTCCTGAAATAAACATATGACTAACCCCAACCATATTATTCGAAATACAGATCAAAAAACGCTCTTCCATGATAAGCTTGTACTTTTATAGCCTTCCCTGTTATTCTTTCTCCAGCAATATTTTTCTGGACTGACAGCACTGTTAATCAGATTTTCGAGCCATGGGTTATTTACACCCTCCAGTACATTTCAGGGAAATTAACTTGAGCTATCCTCCTCTCTTACCAGCTTCTCAATAAATCTTCCTGGCAGTTTAAATAGAAATATCATCAAGACAGACTGGCTTGTGGCAAAAATCACCACTGTTAAATGTTCTGCCGAGAGCATACATGGTTAAAGGGGGAAAATGGCAAGATGAGGCGAGAACTTTTCAAAAACTATGAATAAAACAGAAACCAGAAAACATGTGAAATGTCACAAGATAGGGATAAGAACAAAATTCCAAAGGAATATTGTATACCCACTATATTTGTTTTCTAGGGCTGCCATAACAAAGTGCCACAGACCGGGTGGCTGAAACAAGAGAAATTTATTTCTGGCAGTTCAGGAAGGTAGAAATAAAAGATCGAGGTGTCAGCAGGTTTGGTTTCTTCTGAGGCCTCCCTTTCTGGTTTGTAGAAGGCCATCTTCATGTTCACATGCCATTCTCCCTCTATGTATCTATGTATGTCTGTGTCTAATCTCCTCTTCTTGTAAGGACACAAATCATACTGGATTACATAATGACCTCATTTTAATTTATTTACCTCTTTAAAGACCATATCACCAAATACAGTCACAATCTGAGGTACTGAATAAGTTTTTGGGGGGCACAGTTCAGCCCATAACACACACTACTTAGGAAAAGTACACAGTATAAATCTGTTGTCACCTATTAACTATTTAATGAACCGTGATTTTTGATTCTTTGAACACCGAGAATGTGCTAAGAATATAGCATTTGACCATTCACTGTCCATGTAGAGAATGACCAGTAGGTCTTTGTGTGATCCATCAGACCCATGGCAGAGGCAGAAAGTGCTCAGAGGCACTGGAGTCTCGCCCAGTTTCTGTTCAGCATCCAGCTCTGCATTCAGGGGACAGCCACTAGCCAGGCTCAGTGTGCTATGAAGAATCTTTCTTTGTCACATGTCCCAACTCATTGCATAATTCATGAAGCCAGATAAAAAAGAATTGCTTTGTGTTTTCTGAAAGAAAATTTACCAAAGTAAAAGTCATCCCTTTGCTCTTTACGTTTTCTTGCTACATCTGTAAAACTGCAGCTTCCCAGTCAGGCCAGAAACATGGAGTCCAAACCCAAATCAGGGCTAGTATTGGGTAGGTATCCATGGCAGCCATCCCTAATTCTGGATTCTCATGAACCTGGGCCTGGCTTCAGAATCCTTCTCAACACAGCCACTACCATGACTATAATTGAGATTGACATCAGTTAGCATCCCTGGCCCAAACAAAGTTGGCTGCCAGAAGTTACTGCTTACCACTTTCCAATAAACAGCCCCTTCAGCCAGGGGTTTCCAGTTACCAATTCAGTCTTAAGTCTTGAGTGGCCAAGCTAGGATTGGTCTCTGTGTTAGCAAGAACCATTTTTAAAGAGCTGTAATGGATTCCGGTTTTGTGGAGCCTAAAGTTCATACAATTTGGAGGTGGAGAATCCCCTTTAAGAAAAAGTGTGTAAAATTATAGATAAAAATTTGTAGTCTCTCCCAGGGCCTTGGAAGAGTCCCATTCAATTGAGGGGACTGAAGCTCAAGCTTCATTAACTTCAACTAGTCTGTCTGCCTCTGGCACAAGCAAAAAATTGCCTTAAATCAACACTTCGGTAATGGAAATTCACTCCTTCACTTCCATCCCTCTTCATGCACCCCCTCTTTCAGCTCCTGTTTGTCTGTATTTTGTTCTAAATGTCCTGCTATTGCCTATTGTCCCCTGGTTGGTTCTGGTTCATGCATGGTAACAGGATGGGCAAGTTAGGAAATGCAAAACTAGGGTTGAGCTCGAGAAGTACCCAGGCCCAGAGAGTACTGCCATCTTGTTTAGAAAGGGGCATGCATTTGGTTACTCCGGTTCTGAGATTAGACAGAGGTCACTTTTTGAGTGACTTAGAGACTGGGCTCCAGGATTTAGCAGATAAGGGCAAGTCCCCTCTCTCTCTCATACCACTGAGAAGTAAGTAGGAAGGTTTCTGGAAATGGGCATGCAATTTCCATAGAACCCAAAGCCTTCTCGGGGAAAGGAACCAGGATTACTATGTAGTTCTCCCAATATTTAAAGTTGTGAGAGTTGATGGGATGTACTGAACTGACCTTGTCCAAGCTTGGATGACAAAAAAGGCAGTGAGATTCCTGAAGGGAAAAGACAACTTAACACTTAAGTAAGACTGCACCAGATGGCTGGTCCCTGCCCTAAGATGGTCAGAGGGGACATCAGTTCTGAATCCACAAGGTGCATGACACCACTAGACTCCATGGAGGCAGCACTGGCACTCTCCCCAAAGTGGCTGTGAACAAGCAGGCAAGCTGAGAGACCAATATTGCTACTGAGCTGTAACTTTGTGAACATAGACCTTCTCTAGTGCAGTGTCCACAGCTGAACACAAAACTGATGACAGAGGAACATCTCTTACACATTGACCTTCCCCTTTTCCCTAGCCCCCTCCTTACACACATCACTAGGTTTCCACAGTAGTTCCTAGAGCATCAGGGGTCCTTGACTCCAGTTCTTCCCATGTGGGGCAGTGGTTTTGGGGGCTGTGGCATGTCTGGGATTCTGTTGCATTCCCAGCATCTGGGAATCCTTCACAAACCCTGTATTAAGCAAGCTCTTTAGCAGGGTGGAACAGGTATGGATTTGGGAGTGAGAGACCTAGGTTTGAATCCTAGCTTCACCATATACCAGTTATATGATTTTAAGCAAGTGGACTTAACACTATGAACCTCAGTTCCTTCAACTGTAACCTAAGTTACTGTGGGCAACAATTGAGTGGCTTTGTCCAAAATATGTAGCACAGTCTCCAGCAGAGCATGTGCTCAGTAACTGTGAAGTCTGTTCCTTTACACTCCCAAGGATTTCCCTGGCAATGTTTGGCCAATGGGACGTTTTAATTTGGAGCATGGAATTAAGTTGTGATCAGAACAAACTCTCTCATTATTACCATTACTTGTACATCACTATTGCAATCCCACTGGAAGCTGTGGTCACATTAACATAAGGATATATGGAGGGTAAAGAGGCCATGCTCATTACAAACTGGCCTTAAGTTTGAACGCTATATAAACATTGGGAAATGAGATCAGAAACCTAGCTTGGACTGGATGATTGTTAAAAAGTAGCTGTGCTGATAATGCAAATAAAGAACAGCATCTATATGGAATCAAAGGACTAGAACCTGAAGTAACTTGCTTTGGTGCAAGCAGAAGAGAAAAGCAAACTGGCCTCCCAAAATTTTCCTGGCAAACCCTACCTTGAACAGATTACTTACTTACTGTAAATTCTCTACACCCTTAAATATACAGGCTGAGCTGTCACACCCTACACTTATCTATATCCACATATCATTTTATGTTTTCAGATTTATCTCCTAAAATTTATTGTCAATTTCACCTGGGAGGAAGTTGTAATTTCTATTTCTTTTGTATACTCCCCTTGGGTAGGAACACAAGAAATAAAAAGGAAAGAAAAAAAAAAAAAGAAGGAAGGAGACAGGGAGGAGGGAAGGAATAAGAAGAAAGCAGACAGGAAGGTCTGCCTCTAAAGAGACTCTGAACTTTGTGATAAAGAATCCTGTGGTGAAATATTCCCATGCTAGGAACCTGGCCATTTGCAAACTGTTTGCCCTGGGCTGTTCTATTAAACTTGATGTATCCATCTTACAATAAATGCATGTTGGAGAATCCAGCATAAGGAACCATCTGCCATGTTTGACCTGAATCATCAACAATAAGCAAAGAAATGGTTTATAGGCCATATTGGTCATTAGTGACTAATTAAATGTGGAAAGCAAGTGCAATACTTTCCAGACAGCTATTATATATATATATATTTTTATTCTTATGTTAATCCCCATACATTACATCATTAATTTTAGATGAAGTGTTCCATGATTCATTGTTTGTGCATAACACCCAGTACTCCATGCAGAATGTGCCCTCCTCAATACCCACCACCAGGCTAACCCATCCTCCCACCCCCCTCCCCTCTAGAACCCTGTTTGTTTTTCAGAGTCCATCGTCTCTCATGGTTCGCCTACCCCTCAGATTTCCCTCGCTTCATTCTTCCCCTCCCGCTACCTTCTTCTTCTTCTTTTTTTTTTTTCTTAACATATATTGCATTATTTGTTTCAGAGGTACAGATCTGAGATTCAACAGTCTTGCACAATTCACAGCACTTACCAGAGTACATACCCTCCCCAGTGTCTATCACCCAGTCACCCCATCCCTCCCACCCCACCCCCCACTCCAGCAACCCTCAGTTTGTTTCCTGAGATTAAGAATTCCTCGTATCAGTGAGGTCATATGATACATGTCTTTCTCTGTTTGACTTATTTCACTCAACATAATACCCTCCAGTTCCATCCACGTCGTTGCAAATGGCAAGATCTCATTCCTTTTGATGGCTGCATAATATTCCATTGTATATATATACCACATCTTCTTTATCCATTCATCCAGACAGCTATTATAGATAGGGACAATGCAGCAGGAACGCTTGCACAACTGGTTTTACAAGGAGCTTTGTCTTTGAATCTAAATTTAGGTGTTTTCCTATGATGGCAGTACCTAAAACAAGGAATAAGTAACATTGGCAGAAGAACTGAGAATAAGCACTACTCAAGCCCCCTTAAACCCTACACCACTAGGGTAGAGGAGGGATTGTTACACCTCTCCAAACATGCTACCTTCAAATGTAATCCCTCTCACCTCTCAGAATTCCCTTAGCACTTTATACCACTCATGAGGCTCTTATTATGTAATGCATTGGATTATCATCCTTTGGATTCATGCATTTTGATTTCTACAAGGGTGAGATTCTTTAAGGCAATGACTTTACCACATACAACTTCAAATAAGGTTTTTGAACCTCACATAAGACAAAACAGTGCTTTTTACATTTGTTGTATAAATTAATAAATTTCTCATTGTCTTTTAGTCTGAATTTTATTCTCTTATCTATTTCTTCATTTGGGTTTGAGCCCCCTAATCCAATAATTATCTATGGACTTTGATAAATACACAGGAGACAGCATGATCTAATAGCAGAAGCATGGGTAAAAAAAAGAAAAAGTCAGGAAATACGAGTCTAATTCTGGTGCTTTTAATAAAATGTAAAAGTGAACTTTGGTAAGTCACATAACTTTTCTATACCTCAGCTACCTCATCTGTAAAAGGAGGAACAAGAATACCTGGTCTGCAAAGAAACAAGGGAAGAAGGAGACCTGTATTGGGTGCCTATTTTATGCCAGAAACTGGGTTATGTGCACACATATGACTCACCTTATACAAGTCTCATAACAATTCTGCTTTAGTTTCCCAGCATTACAGATGAGAAATTTGAGACTCAAGGAGAATAACTGGGCGCCTGGGTGGCTCAGTTGGTTAAGTGACTGCCTTCAGCTCAGGTCATGATCCCAGGGTCCTGGGATCGAGTCCCGCATCGGGCTCCCTGCTCTGCGGGGAGCCTGCTTCTCCCTCTCCCACTCCCCCTGCTTGTGTTCCCTCTCTCGCTGTGTCTCTCTCTGTCAAATAAATAAATAAAATCTTTAAAAAAAAAAAAAGGAGAATAACTGGCAAAAAGTCACTCAGCTAGTAATTGGCAAAGTGAAAGCATACACCCAGAAATTCTAACTCTAAAGCAGTTCAGGTCAAGCCACTTGACATTTAGTGAGAGCCACTGAGCTGGCACCACGATGGTTGCCAAGGATGCAGAGGTGAACCAAACAGAAGTTAAGTGTCTACAAAAGCATGAAAACATATAAACAAATCATTGTACCAGAGTATGCATATGGGTTTTCTTCCACCCAACCCTGCTGCTTTTATGAGGATGTGAAAAATAAACTATGTAAAAGTCAAAAGGTGTATTTTAAGTGCCCGTGCCTAATAGTACTTGTACTAGGAAATATACTTTAAATATAGTAAATAAGCCTTAGTCCCTGTCCTCATGAAACTTACAGTCATATTGAAGACAATATCAGTGCTTGAAGTGGCGAACTTCTCCTATCTAGAAAATTCACTCACATGGAACAATATATTTTATTAAAATAATAAACAAAATTAATATTGCTAATTTTGCTTTTGAGTCAGATTATGACTATGGCAATGAAGACAAGTGTCTTTGTGATACAATGAACAAAAGTGTTGTCACATATCAGGGGCTATGACTTTCTGAACATTATGTCAACTAATCACAATTAATTAATAATCACCAGGTATCGGGTGCCTGGGTGGCTCAGTTGGTTAAGCGACTGCCTTCGGCTCAGGTCATGATCCTGGAGTCCCTGGATCGAGTCCCGCATCGGGCTCCCTGCTCGGCGGGGAGTCTGCTTCTCCCTCTGACCCTCCCCCCTCTCATGAGCTCTCTCTCTCTCTCATTCTGTCTCAAATAAATAAATAAAATCTTAAAAAAGAAAAAAAGACACTGTTAAAAAAACAAAAAGGTAAGCAACAGACCAGGAGAAAACATCACAATATGTAGGACTGACAAGACTTGTATCCAGCATATATAAGACAAACAAGAGAAAAATGAGCAAAAGATTAGAACATTTTATAGAAGATATGCAAATGAGAAAATAAGCACATGGAAATATGTTCAATGTCATCAGTCATTAAGGCAATCCAAATTATGATAATGAAACACTACTACAGGGCGCCTGGGTGGCTCAGTTGGTTAAGTGACTGCCTTCGGCTCAGGTCATGATCCTGGAGTCCCGGGATCGAGTCCCGCATCAGGCTCCCTGCTCAGTGGGGAGTCTGCTTCTCCCTCTGACCCTCCCCCCTCTCATGTGCTCTCTCTCTCTCTCTCATTCTCTCTGTCTCAAATAAATAAATAAAATCTTTAAAAAAAAATAATCACCAGGTATCAGCAGGTTTATAATGGCAAATATTTTACCATCCATATTCTAGCTTCGACCATATATTCCTCTATAACTAAAGGTAATTTTGGTTAAGCAATATTTTTAAAATTTAATGATTCTTCTCACTTGAAACAGCAATATTACCTTATATTCGTAAAATCTTCCTCCTTCTCATACACTCAAGAATTGTGAATACTACATATGAAATCAAAACATCAAAATACATAAAGAAAATTTCCAAAGAATGTCAAGCCAAAAAGTAAGGAATCATCAATGTTCTCCTTCAGTATAGTTCACTTTCGTAGTAGGGGTATTTTGCAAGCAGAATTTTTTTAAATTTCTTATCTTATTGTTGAAGTGGTGTTTCGTTTTTTGTTTTAAAGACTTATTTATTTGAGAGAGAGAGCACAAGCAGAAGGGGCAGAGGGAGAGGGAGAGAGAATCTCAAGCAGACTGGGCACTGAGCACGGAGCCCCAGAGGGCTGGATCCCACAACCCCGAGATCATGACCTGAGCTGAAACTACGAGTCGGATGCCCAACCGACTGTGCCACCCAGGCGCCCCTTGAAGCAGTGTTTAAAGCATGTACACGTAACCCAGAGGTTTAAATTCATGTGATTTTAGTTCAGTGATTCATTCTTATTAGATATTCATTGCATTAAAAATACTGTGCAGTTTCAGAATGCTTCTCCCTATGACGTATCACAAAGGATTGAATTTCTTACCCTCCTATACAAAATAAGAGCTCCTAATTACTTCTTTGTTCAAATGAGCACTTGGAGGGAAAAGCCTCAGAAAACATTTGGTGGAAACACACAAAACATCACTTTTTAAAAAATTGTTTAGGGGCACCTGGGCGGCTCAGTCGTGAAGCGTCTGCCTTCGGCTCAGGTCGTGATCCCAAGGTCCTGGGATCGAGCCCCGCATTGGGCTCCCTGCTCGGCGGGAAGCCTGCTTCTCCCTCTCCCACTCCCCCTGCTTGTGTTCCCTTTCCGTTGTGTCTCTCTCTGTCAAATAAATAAATAAAATCTTTTAAAAAAAATTGTTTAAACATGTACACCTCTCTCTTCTGAATAGGCAGCCACTGAACTAACACAGTAAGTTCATACTCAATATTTCACAACTGTCCTTTAGAACAAATATTCTCTCTAGAATCAATAAACCCTTAAATCAGGAAGAATTTACTGTGAGGTCAATACCTTCATATTTGGTGATTGTTTAGGAAAGTTCATTGCTTTTGGAACACATCACATAAGAATGGGGCTAAGATTTCCAGAGACTAAGTTAGGAGAGGTCAAATGTTAGAGGATGTGAGGAGTCTAAGGCTCTCCATCTTTTCCCAATACAGCCATTTGCATTTGGGCCTCAGATGCTACCTTCTTCCCACTCGTCCATTTTGTTCTAAGTTATTCAGGGATGAGTATTTTTTAATTCTTTGGGTAAATACCTAATAGTGCTGAATCACTATATTGTATACCTGAAACTAATATTACACTGTATGTTAACTGGAATTTAAACAAAAACTTTTTTTTTTAAAAAAAAAGCATTAACTCATAGCCACCATGTGCATCAAAAGAAACCTTAGAATACTTAGAGCACTAGTCTCAAAAAAAAAAAAGAGAGAGAGACTTTCCTGCCAATAAAGTGGATTGGAGCCATGTATTTGTATACTAAATAGCAGCTAGGAGTTACTGAGCCTTTCTTTTTTTTTTTTTTTTTAATTATGTTATGTTAATCACCATACATTACATCATTAGTTTTTGATGTAGTGTTCCATGATTCATTGTGTATAACACCCAGCCTTTCTAATAAAGGGTTCATAAGCATTGTATTCTACATACAGTAGTCTTCCCCTTATCCATGGGGAATACATTCCAAGACCCCCAATGCATACCTGAAATAGTACCAAACCCTACAGATACTGTTTTTTTCCCACACATACCTATGATAAAAAGTTTAATTTATGAACTAGACACAGTAAGAGATTAACAACAATAACTAATAAAATAGAACTCTAACAATACACTGTAGTAAAAAGTAAAAGTAAGTTATTCTCTCTCTCTCTCTCAAAATCTCTTATTGTACTGTCCTCAGCCTTCTTGTGATGATGTGAGGTGATAAAATGCCTGTGTGATGAGATGAAGTGAGGTGAACGACCCAGCCTTGGAACATTGCGTTAGGCTGCTATTGACCTTCTGAGGATTCATCAGAAGGAGAATGTCCAATTCCCACCACAGTTGATGGCTGGTAACTGAAACAAAGAAAGTGAAATGGGAACGGGAATTGTGGCTGAAGGGGACTACTGTGCATCATCTCCTCCTCACACCAAGCCTATGAAGTAGGTACATCATCATCTCCATCCCACAGATGAGGAAAAGTAGGCCTAGAGCAATGAAGGGACTTACTCAAGATCACACAGCTGGCAAGAATCAGATTCCAAAAACCATGCTTTCCGCCCATGCTGTCCAATTCAGTAAACACTCACCACATGTGACCACTTAAATTTTTACTAAAATTCGGGTGCCTGGGTGGCTCAGTCGCTAAGCGTCTGCCTTCGGCTCAGGTCGTGATCCCAGGGTCCTGGGATCGAGTCCCACATCGGGCTCTCTGCTCGGCAGGAAGCCTGCTTCTCCCTCTCCCACTCCCCCTGCTTGTGTTCCTGCTCTCACTATCTCTCTCTCTGTCAAATAAATAAATAAAATAATAAATAAAATCTTTAAAAAAAATTTTTTTACTAAAATTCAGTTTCTCAGTTGCACTGGCCGTATTTCAAGTGTTCGATAGCCACCGATAGCTAGTGACTGCTAGTGTTTCTGGATAGTGCCAACTAGAGAACACTTCCTTCACTGCAGAAAGTTCTATTTGACAGCAATTTTAACCTACACAAGTCCCACGAAAATTAAAGAAACTACTTTAAAGCTACACACACACACACACACACAAACTTCCCCCTCACCTTCTCTCCAGTGGTTCTCATGAGGGGAGCATCATCTCATCCATGGATGGTAGCAGAGAAATAGAACAAGGGTCAACAGTATCACCACTGGGGTTCAGGGAGAAACTTGGAGCAGTGGGAAATCCCACAAGACGCTGAAGAAACTTCTATGTGGATACTCCAGAGATCTGTAAGATTAAGCCTCCTACTTACTTTCCCATGTTAAAGGAGGGAACCTCTGATGACAAAACGGATAGACCTTCATGTTACAAATATAAATGGGACCCACCGTGCTCACAAGCTGGGAAGAATGACATCCCATCCGCTCTACGAGTAGCACAGACATGTCGTGTTTGACAAGTGCAGCTCAGGTAGAGTCGGTGCTTTGAAAACATTCTGAATGGTTCTAAAACATCTCTTAGAATAATGCTTATCATCAGAAATCATAGTTATGTAAGACCTGAAATTTTTAAAGAAACTATTTTTTCTTAGTTGTGAAAAGTAATGTAATGTTTCAAAATAAAATTCTAGTACACTTGATTGACATGGTTTCTTTCAATAGTAAGCGTTCCATACTCTCTTGCTGACCTGATGTTTCTTTAGAATTTAATGTTTATGGGCGCCTGGGTGGCTCAGTTGGTTAAGCGACTGCCTTCTGCTCAGGTCATGATCCTGGAGTCCCTGGATCGAGTCCCGCATCGGGCTCCCTGCTCGGCAGGGAGTCTGCTTCTCCCTCTCCCACTCCCCGTTTGTGTTCCCTCTCTCGCTGTGTCTTTCTCTGTCAAATAAATAAATAAAAATCTTAAAAAAAAAAAAAAGAATTTAATGTTTATGCCAAAAGACACATTATAAAATGCAGACCTTGCTTGGAAAGCTATCACAAATTACAAGTAAAACTTTAATACTTAATTATATTTTAAAGATAAAATTAACCAGCTAGCTACAGTTCTGGATCACAAACCCAAGTAGCTGTGCTTTCAGATAATATAATGAAATAGTCCCTGATGTGTATTTAAAGAAACAGCAAAATCCTTTTTGTTTGGTGTAAGTTAGCTTCTCTCCTCTCCCAATATTTTTTCATCATAAATTTATTTCTTTTAGGAAAATTTTTTCTTGTGTCATTTGAAAAGATTATTTTATTTTTTAAGTCAACAGATTTCACCCCACCACTGCCCCTCACTAAATTATAAGATATGAACCAGGTACATTTATGCTGCATAAAAGCTCACATGGTGAAACATCTCCCTGACTTGGCTGTCCAGCTACCTTCTTCCCTGATTTCCTTCCCCAGAGCTAATCACTTTTTCCAGTTTCTGATAAACCATCCTCAAGATATTCTACACAGTAACATCATAGGTGTCTGTATCACTTTTTAAGACACAAATGAAAACACCACAGTAATAACAGTTCAGGCAAAAATCATTAATGGATGCTCAAATTAGTAGACAAGAAAGCATGATGTCAGCAAGATATTTATATAGTCTCAAATTAACTCCCCACAAGATACTTATTAATTATCAAAGGAAAAGATAATAAGGACCATGGAGAACCCAGACACCACCTTAACCACGTGATTTAGTTGACGTCTCCAGCAGTGAGACATATCGACATCATGTATCTCGTGATATGTACTGTGAAGTGCACAACAGCACTTCTGTGATATTCTTGCCAAAAAAAATATAATCTGAATCTAATCATGAAGAAACATTAGAAAGACCCAGCTGAGGGACATTCTACAAAATATCTAGTGAATACTCTTCAAAAGTGTCAAGGTCATAAAAGGCAAAGACTAATGAATTGGAGGAGCTGCCCCAGATTAAAGTATGTTCAAGGACATTTGTGGGACAATTGAAAAAGAATTTGAAGACAGTATGTAGATTAATTAGTAGAATTGCATCGATGTTAATTTCCTAGTTTTGATCATTATACTCTAGTTATGTAAAGTGTTAACTTTTAAGTTTACTTTAACAGTAATATTTTTTAATTAAAAACACAAATGGTAGTATTCTCTATGTACCATTCTCCATCTTCCATTTCTCACTTAAAAATATGTCTTGAGGATCATTCTACGTAAGTATAGATACTGAATTTTTAACAGATGTGAAATGTTCCATTTTATGAATTTATAATATATTTGACCATTTCCTATTAATAGGCACTCGGGCTGTTTCCTAGCACTCGAAGTTAACATTCTTTTATGCAAGACTTCTTGTATATGTGGTAAGGCCACTCTAAATGTACAATAAACCAATGGCTCCCTTCCTGTAAGAGTTAGAATTCATGCTGGGAGGAGTTCACCAGCATTACCGGAGTAATGGATGTGGTCAAGCCATTTATCAAACCCAGATTTGAGAAAAAGAACACATCTCATTTGCTGATCCTATGAATTCTCAATGTTGCTGTTAAAATGAACTGATTTTTTTAAAAGTTGTCTTGTATATTGAATACATATTCTTTGACTTTCCCTTTTCTCCTAAATTGATTTAGGGGTACAAAAAAAGCCAAATTATTATAAATTTTACCAATTAAAGTGTTTTTTTAAAGATGAAATTATATCCTAAATTAGAAATGAAAATGTATCTATCTTCTCTAAGAATTAAGACTAACCAAATCTTCGGGATACAAATCAGTTGTTTAAAAGATCTGCATCCCAAAGTGTAGACAAGAATTTAAGACTAACTTGATAATTAAAAGGATCTAAGTAAACCCTAAATATAATAAAATGATAAAGTACATTTATCTGCAAGAAAGTTTGTATTGATAAGCAGAAAACTCTGAATGTCAAAGAACCAGAATTGATAGAATACATTATCTCTCTCTTCTCCTTCCTGTACTAAAAACATAAACTTGCTTACTTTCCATTTGTGACTTTGACTTACATTAAAAAGGAGGGCATCCTAATCTCAAGTTCATACTTAATGAAAGAGGAGAGATCTTTGTGGAAATTGTTATTCTCATAATTCTTTCTCCTTTAAAGTCTTCCATATTCTTTGCCATTCAAACAGCATCTATAGTGCATTAGGTGGGGTATTTCACAGAGTGAATTGAACAATTCCCTTCTACTTTTTAGCCTATAACAAACCAAAAGCAACTGTGATACAGAAAACCAATAAACATTTGGGTTTTGTCCCGAAGATCAAGTAAATAGAGCAGTGGATGATATGGGGAAATGCTATTAGGAACTCTCTTTATTTGCAGAGTACTTAATAGAGGTAAGATATTAGGAGTCACCTGAAGGAACAGTTGGGAGGCTGTATTAGTTTCCAGTGGCTGCTGTAACAAAGTCCCACAGATTTGGCAGGTTAAAACAACAGGCATTTATTGTCTCACAGTTCTGGAAGCCAGAAGTCCAAAATCAGTATCACTGAGCAAAAATCTGCCATAGAGAGCCCCCAGAGGTTCCAGAGGAGAATCAGTTCTCTCTTCCAGCTTCTGGCAGCGGCTGGCATTCATTCCTTGGCCTGCGACCACATCATTCCAATCTGTCTCTGTGTTCACATAGCCTTCTCCTTTTCTGTTTGTGTCAGATCTCCCTTAGCCTCTCTTTTGGGGCACAAACAGAAAATCCAGCATAATCTCCCATTTCAAGATCTTGTACTTAATCACATCTGCAAAGACCCTTTTTCCATATATGATAACATTCACAGGTTCCAGAGACCGGATCTGATATCTTTGGTGGCCAATGTCCAGCTTACTCCTGAGGATCTTCCCTTTTCTGGACAGCGGTGTTCAAGAAAGCTTGTGATCAAAGGGGTAGAGTCTGTCATGGAACAAGAGTGAAGACTGTGTGGTTTTGTTGCCCTTGTTCATCAGAGTACCTGAGATCCTGGTGGAGAATGCACTCACTGAGGTAAAATACAAACATCAGGGGATCTGGAAGAGAGAAACAATGTGGTCACCAAGGGAAGTCCAGGGATGGCAGGACCCAGGCTCAGCAGAACACTGGGCTAGGAGCTAACACTATTTTTGCCTACTTATGGCTTTTATTAGATCTTAGCCTCCCACCAGGACCCCCAGGACTCTCACATGTCAGAGGGTCCAGCAGAGACAGTCATGACAACACACCCCTCCACACCCTCCCCTGTCTCCATCCAGTTCTAGTTCCTGGAATGCCCTTTCTTTCACAACTCTGCATGTCTGTCTCATACTACTCTTTCCACCAGATGGTCTACTCTTTCCTCTTATAGCTCAGAAGGATTTAGATTAAAATAAACCCTCTATAGTCATCACCTAAGGGTTTTTTTCCAAGTTTTTATTTAAATTCCAGTTATTAACATAGAGTCTAATGTTAGTTTCAGGTGTAGAATTTAGTGATTCAACACTTAGATACAACACCCAGTGCTCATCATAGCAAGTGCACTCCTTCATCCCCATCACCTATTTCACCCATCCCCCCACCCACCTCCCCTCTGGTAACCTCAGTTTGTTCTCTATAGTTAAGAGTCTGTTTCCTGGTTTGCCTCTTTTTACCTCCTATGTTCATTTGTTCTGTTTCTTAAATTCCACATATGAGTGAAATCATATGGTATTTGTCTTTCTCTGACTGACTTATTTTGCTTAGCATAATACTCTCTAGCTCCATCCACATTGTTGCAAATGGCAAGATTTCATTCTTTTTTTTTTAAGATTTTATTTATGTATTTGACAGAGAGAGACACAGCGAGAGAGGGAACACAAGCAGAGGGAGTGGGAGAGGGAGAAGCAGGCTTCCTGACGAGCAAGGATCCCGATGTGGGGCTCGATCCCAGGACCCTGGGATCATGACCTGAGCCGAAGGCAGATGCTTAACGACTGAGCCACCCAGGTGCCCCAAGATTTCATTCTTTTTTATGGCTGAGTAATATTCCATTGTACATACATACACCACCTCTTCTTTATCCATTCATCAGTTGATGAACATTTGGGCTCTTTCCATAATTTGACTATTGTTGATAATGCTGCTATGAACATAAGGATGCATGTATACCTTTTAATTAGTGTTTTTGTATTTCGGGGGTAAATACCTAATAGTGCAATTGTGGGATTATAGGGTAGTTCTATTTTTAACTTTTTGAGGAATCTCCATACTGTTTTCCAGAGTGACTGCACCACTTTGCTTTCCCACCAACAGTGTACTCTTACATTGTTACCCCTTTCTCTGCATTCTCACCAATACCTGCTGTTTCCTGCGTTGTTAATTTTAGCCATTCTGACAGTGTGAGGTGATATCTCATTGTAGTTTTGATTTGAATTTCCCTGATGATGAGTGATGTTGAGCATCTTTTCATGTGTCTGTTGGCCATCTATATTTCTTCTTTGGAGAAATGTCTATTTATGTCTTCTGCCTATCTTTTAACTGGATTATTTGTTTTTTGGGTGTTCTTTATATATTTTGGATATTAACTCCTTATCAGATATGTCATTTTCAAATATCTTCTCCCATTCTGTAGGTTGCCTTTTAGTTTTGTTGATTATTTCCTTCACTGTGAAGAAGCTTTTTATTTTGATGTAGTCCCAATGTTTATTTTTACTTTCATTTCTGTTGCTTCAGGAGACATATTTAGCAAGAAGTCACTACAGCTGATGTCAAAGAGGTTACTG